TTTTTAAGTGTGCAACATGAAATTCGAGATCACCTAAATGTAAGGGGGCATAAATCATAGACTCATTGTATATTATCGAACTGATAAAATTTTCTATTTAAAAGAAAAGTCCTGTAGCAATTATATTTATACAATAATAATACAATTAATATAATAATTTACAATAATAATAATACAATAATGATTAATACAATTAAAATAATAATTTAATATAATAATTAATATAGTTAAAGACGCTTATTTTTAATTGGGAAGAGAGAGAGAAGAACAGCTGAACAGACGTGTGTGTGCGAAAAAATAGGAGTTTCTTATAAACTTTTTCAAAGAAATTAATAAAGATATCAATATATGTATATACTATTTATTATTGTTTTTATGTATAAAAATTGTTATTCTTATGCTAAAAATACTTATTCTTATTCTAGAATATTCTTATTTTAAAAAATTGAAATTTTGTCTATTTTTTGTGCTGAGGACGGTTTAACATCTAATTGGTGAGTAATATTATAACTTGTATAATAATCTAAAATAAATAAGTCCAGAAAATTTTAAAAGTATATTAAATTTGCTGAAAAATAAACTGTCATTATATATAGAAAATTAAAATTTAACAAAATGGCGGCATTTCAAATGTATAAATCATTTTTTCTCTTTCTTTATTATTTAGTGTTCTAAGAAAAATACTAATTTTCTAGAAATTTTTCAAAGGATATTTAGATTCATCCTTCATCAAATGTAATATAATTTTTAAATTTTCTAGTCCTATTTTGTTTCAAATTATTGCACGTAATATTGCCTACCAGTTAGAGGCGTTCAGTGACATTATACTAAGCACACAAAATCTAGATGATGAAATTTCAATTTTTTTTAATAATAAAGAATTTTCATACTTCAAACAATAATAAATAGTATGTTCAAAACTCTGTACTGATATCTTTTATTACTTTTAAAAAAATTCATGAAATCTTTCTTTGGCTAATTAAACCATTCCTTAAATTAGTTTCTATTTACTCTCTAAGTTTTTTAGAAAATCTCACTCGAAAAATAGAGTGACAACCGAATCACTTTAATTAGAGTGACTTCTCATCCTTATAGAGTGAATTCCTTCATTTTATTTCGGGGAGTGAAAATTTTCACTCTGTATCGTGGAGTAAATTTTTGCTCGACAAATGGAATGACGACCGTCACTCGAGTTAGAGTGACTTTCTTCTCACTCATATGGAGTGAATTTTCAACTCGTGAGTAAATAATTTGGTAACAACGTATATGTTATAAATGTTATAAGAATCATTCCCATCAATTAATAACAGTGGTTCGATAAGTAAGACGAATAACTCAAGAACAAGCTCTCAGTTCAAATCTCACTATAGTTAGCAAATTTTCCTAAGCTTATTATAAATGGAATTAACTAAATAGCATACTATTAAAAAGATTGTGCAATAATCAGAGGTCTGGTAATCACAAACAGAATAGAACTAAAAGTTTTTCTTTTTGGACAGCAGATCTTAAAAGATAGCAACCTTTGATTTTGAGAGACTGACAACTGTACAGTTTTGCAGCAATTATATTTATATAATAATCAGTAATATTGTTTCTCTTTGTAGTCGCTTGTGAGCTCGGGATAGCGCTAGAGATGTTGCTTCCGAACGGCATCTCTGAATATTATCTAGGAAGAGGAAAGTATCGTGAGCATAGAGCGTCAGGTAACTCAGTGGTTTAGAACAAGCGAAAGACCCTAGTACTAGTACACCCTCCTCTTTCTATGGCCACCTAATCATAAAAATTCACTCTATTTGGAGTGAAATTTTCACTCTAGTTAGAATAAAATATTCACTCTTATGAAAAGTGAGATGTCACTCCATTCAGAGTGGTAGTATTTTCACTATCGCTTGGAGTGAATATCCACTCGTTTAGAGTGAAACTTCAAGAAATTTAAACAGTATGTACTTACTTAATATTTTAAACTTTACTTACAAGAAATCCACATAGATGTTTAGCTCCGATTTGGATAAGCTTGAAATATATTATAATTCAGACCAAAAAAAGACATGTATTTTTTTATACGTGCCCAGGTGGACTTTTACGGGATAAAACACCCCTTTAAAAAAATCGGTTTTTTCTTTAGGAGCATGTTTCGTCAAAAGAATAAGAGATAGGAAAAAATTTTCTAGACAAAAATTAAATGGTTGTAGGAGTACTTTGCAATGACAAAATCAGATATTTGAAAAATATTTGATTGTCAATATACTCCCACCACTCACCAGTTTTCACAAATATCTAATTTTGTCATTGCAAAGTACTCCTAAAACTATTTAATTTTTGTCTAGAAAATTTTTTCTATCTCTTATACTTTTGATGAAACATGCTCCTAAAGAAAAAAACCGATTTTATTCAAAGGGGTGTTTTGTCCCCTAAAAGTCCGCCTGGGCACGTATAAAAAAAATACGTGTCTCTTCTTTTGGTCTGAATTACAATATATTTCAAGCTCATCTAAATCAGAGCTAAGCACCTATGCGGGGTTCCATGTTAGTTAAAGATATTAACTTACTCAACTCTGCATATATATATATATGCAGAGTTGAGTAATATATATATATATATATATATATATATATATATATATATATATATATATATATATATA